ACTGAGCTGTTTTCTGAATGACATCAGAAATTATGAGAGACATAATTCAAAGCATGACAGAGCTAAATCCTCCCTGAAAAAACATTATTCCACCTCCCAGCCCAAGCCAACTCAGACCCATTTATAATCTGTCACTACCAGGCAACACCATGGGAAGGAAAGGCTGCTTTGCAGCTACAGAAACCAGCTAGCTCCCTACTGGTGCACGAGTTCCAAATCCCATGCTGGCACTGTGGGTGGGTGGGAGACTCCAGAGGAAACCCTGCTTTAGCTTGCTAAGGAGTTCCTTTCTGATCATCCCCTCTCATAACAAAGTTATGTGATTACAGAGTAGCAAAAAGACAAAACAGAGGGCTACTTGAGGGACCTGTATTGGAGCTTAGTGAATGTGCAGAGGTCAGTTCACAATTACACAGGCAAACCACTGTCAGGCATTCAGACAGAAAATTTCTGAATTATGCAGGCATTCTCCATTATACTTGAAAAGTCATGAAAATCAGGCAAAGTCCCCAGTGACTGAAGAAAATGGAGTATCACACCCATTTTTAAAAAAAGATAAGCACTGTGGGAGCTACTGACCAGGCAGCCCATGCCTGGTAAGATTATGGTACAGATCCTCCTGGACAATACATCAAAACACAAAGACAGAGAGGTGGTTAAAGACAACTCACACGAGCTGGAGCTTCAAACTGACCAAGGTCAAATTGTGCCTGACTGACCTAGTGGCCTTGTATGATGGAGTGACTCCACCAGTGGAAGAGTTACGAATGTCATCTACGTAGACTTCTGTAAGGTCTTTGACAGTCCCCCACAACATTCTGGCTACTAAACTGGAGAGGTAAGAGTTTAATGGAAGAACTGTTAGATGGATAAGGAATTGGCTGGATGGGTAGAAACCAGCAATAAGTGGACCCGCAAGGGTCTGTACTGGGACCAAAACTTTAATCTCTTCAATGACAGTGGGATCAAGTGCACCCTCATCAGGTTTGCAGATGACACCAAGCTGAGTGGTGCAGGTGATTCACTAGAGGGAAGTGATGCCATCTAGAGGGACCTGGACAGGCTTGAGGAGGGGCCCACACAAGCTTCATGAAGTTCAGCAAGGCCAAGTGCAAGGCCCTGCACCTGCCTTCAGCATTCAAGCCCCGTGAGCCGCTGCCTTTTTTCCCTTCCCACACAAGCATGAAATCTGCTCCTACCTTCTGCCACTGACTTGCCCAACACACAGCACAGGCAGAACCCTTCTAAGGAATTGCCTTTGCCGAAACCCCAGTTTTCCTCATTAGTAGCCAAACCAGAGACATTCCTTCCCAGCACATGATGCTGCAACCTGCGGAAAGCAGAAAGGCTGCAGCCACATACCATCCCTCTCCCAGCTGTGGTGGAGCGGGTGGGTGCACAGACCCATCACCTGGTTACAGCCTGGCCTTGTAAGACAGGTGACATACAAAACCCAAGGGATTTGAACCAACAAACTGCAAAATACAGCACCTGAGAAGCAATGTTCCTTAGTGGCCTCTGGCAGGAGCTCGAGAAAATGGCTGGGAATTGTAATCTCTTCAGCCATGGCAGCTACACTCAAAAAGGAATGAGATTATTCCTTACTAACAGCTCCATTCGTACTGCAGAACCTTATGATTGCAAGGGCAAACCTTGAAACCCCAGGGACATGGGCTGGTAACATTTGCTTTCCAGGACATTTTCAGTGGGTGCACATAAGATCATTTTCTGTTCCAACAAAACAAGCACACAGAAGGTAACTGGGTAGTGCTGTATATTCAGGGTTACCACAAACTGTATTTCTGAAGATCACAAAGGCAGAAAGACCAGAGGGGCAAGCCACGATCAGGAGTCTGCTATGGGATAAAAATTTTTTAAACACCAACATTAGTACAGATTAGTCTTCATCACCATTGGAAAACCATCATCTACCTACCTGCTCTTGCATTCTTAGATGTCTGCACCTCTACATAAATCTGAGGGGAATTCCAGCAGTAAAATCTGTTGCTGCTAAAGCATTTAGAAAACCTACAGTAGCTTCCTTTAAAAAGTTACACATTTGTAACAGAATACTCTGTTAATTTTGAACGACCTATCACTTTCAAGTTCATTCACAGAAAAGTATATTAATGGTAAACTTACCACAAAATGCTTCTTCCATAAAAGAATCCTTAGAAAGTAATTTCTCAGTCTTCCGTCCTGGAGAGTGACAACACAGACCATAAAATTAAAAACATCAAATATTAATATGTTATGACTTATGAAATCAGGAAGAATTGCTTTCCTATAGAAATAATAGGATACATTTCAAGAATATATATATATATATATATGTAAGTGACGGTCTGAAAAATAAAACTAGACACAATTCCAGCATGGAGAAAACTGGAATGCTTTATTGAACACGAGAACACAATTCTAAAGGCATCGAGGCTGGACGTGTTAATCAAGGGGACAACCTATGTTAATTAGGGAATTACACAAGTTTTTACTGCAATTTTCTAATAGTTAATTTTTTTTTCAAGTAGGATTACATGGGGGATGGAGGGATTACAGGGGTTTAGACATGGTTTTAACAATCATCTTAAAAGGTCCTTTCTTAATTCTGCTTGGAACCAGGTTTGTATCGCCGGGTTGCACATCAACAGGTCTCAGGACAAGGGTCCAAATTTCTTCAGATCACAAGATGTTTGTCAGCTCTTGTTTTCCAAGGTTTATGATTCAAATTTAACAAGCTTCCTTTTGCTGAGAGCTGGGTTTTGGCCCCTTCATATATATATATATGAGAACTAGAAATTTTATCATTTTTTGAGTAGGGATAGTAATCTAAAGTCTGGATTTCTGTATTGAGAACGTATGGGCGGAGCAGGACTTCATAAAGGCATTACACATACCTGCTAGTCATGTGGTTACTTCGAAACCATCCTCACTGAATACAGAGCAGAAGTTAAAACTTGTAAATTTGCTTCTTTGAAAAACTTTCAAAACTCTAGGTCTGCAAAACTCTGCACAGCCAAAGCTTCAAAGACACTTAACTACAAATGTCATAAACCATAGAAAAATATATTATCAGAGGTAACAGAACCATAAACATCCATAAATATTTAAGAAGGCTGCAGGCCCTAACATAAAATTGTGTCGGTCTGAAACTTCAGAGCAGCTATATGAAAAAATGTTTGGAAACTAATTCACTGTGCTGGAACTTGAATGCTGGCTTTGGAAGCCACGGAGAATAATGTTATCAGCTACTTTACTGATTCATGACCCCCTCTGGCCCCAAAGGGAAGAACCTGTCAGCCTCCAAGCAGTCTGCCCAACTGAGGCCATTTACCTCGTCCTACCTACCACCTTTTGTCAAATCAAGGTCACAGATAAGCCATATTTTTCTACCAAAAAAAGGACCAGGTCAATCATTAACTGGGAAGAGATCTATGTCCCAGAAGTACAGCTATCTGTCTTCAATACAGTAAACATACTGCTTTTAGTGAAAGACTGCGAGGTCTTTGTTACACAAATAGTTTTGCTCAGCAAAGTCTAACAACGTCTTTGTCCCTCCCTTCTCAAATCTCCAACTTAAGCCAGTTGGTTTTTTTCTCTGCTCACCTGGACATCTCCTACAGGTAAGCACAGCTTGCCAGAAATGATTGAAAAACACTGAGGACCAGCCAGTCCTGCTGAGTGTAGCAATTTATTTGACTGCAACACCATCTCGGAATGAGTTACATCAAAAGACACACAGAATTTTGAAAAAAGCAGCACTGAAAAACTTAGGGTTAACAGCTGTAGTAAGACAGCAGCACATGAACTCCTCCTGGCTAAAACGCACTGGTGGTTAAAACACAGAGGCTACGTAGGTCACAAAAATCTTGAGTACTAAGCAAAGGGGTTCTGAGCAGAAGCAGGGAAGCAATATGCAACTCTAATATGCACCTACCCTGGTAACCTATGCTGGGTCCAGCTGTGAGGCCCAAACATACATTAAAAAAGTGGTCAGAAATAGAAATAATTCAGCATTTAATTCTGGAAAGCCTGCCTCAAGTTGAATTTCCTACCATCTGCTGGGGTGGGGAAAAGGGGGTGGTGAGTGGGAATAACACTTTTCACCATCTCCTAACAATGGCACACTTTTATAACTTCAACTGAACAAGTTTTGAAGTTCAGGGAAAATACAGATTCTCCAGCATTGTGACAAAGTTAGGCCTTTTGTAAAAGAACCTCATCTTTTTTTCCAGTGTATCTTGTACACCAGCTAATTTCACACAAGAATGTGCTTTGCCATAAATTAAGAGCATTGTATATAGACACAGATAACTCAGTGCAGAAACAGCAGCTTCTCGTGCTTTCTGAATCTCTGTATAAAATACCATACTTTAATTGTTCTTTGATCAAAGGGAACCAGAACTGGAACTTGCCTGTGTATTTCCATATTCTGTAAGTCAACTTTTCCAGATAAAAGCAGGTTTTGAAGTATTTTCTAGCTCATCTGAAAACATGTGAATGCAAGACAATATTGCATAGCATCTACTCAAACTGTAATTAGCAGTGAAACAATTGCCCTTTCTGTCTTTTTTTCCTAGAATTTATAGAAAATAAGTTGTCATACAGCTCCTTCAGGATGAAGGATCAGAGTCAGCATACCAGTTCATCTTACTCCTAAATTTCAGTTTTCCACTGTGGTCTATGCTGGCTGAAAAGCTTCTGGCAGATGACACTGGCTGCCCAATTGCCTTAAAAGACAGATAAGCATACATTTACTTCTTAAGGTTAGGCTGAACAGTACCTGTTTGGGATTGCATAACTTCTTGTGAAAGGGCTTCCTTCCGCTGTTAGTATTTCGTCATGGTGGCTGGAAAGGGAATCCAAGTGCTGCTTTCACCCCACTGCAAGGTTTGATTGGCACCCTTGTAACACCATGTACAGCCCCCTACACCAACCTAACACTTGCTCCTGTTCAAACTTCAAGCAGGTACAGAGCAATCTTTAAACACGAGTACAATCAATTGTTGGAAAGACAATCACATTGTTGTTAATTGAAAAGCAATTCAATACAGTATTTGGGGAATTTTATTTAGGAATAAAGCATAACTAGAATATGAAACAAGCATTCAAAGTCAGAGAGAGGAGAAATTAAAGTGCTTGCTTTAGAGTAAATTAGAAACATTTTTCAAAGGTGTAGGAATACAACAAATACAATTGTATGTGGTTCTTTTTCTTTAATGAACAAGTGAATTTGATGTCTTAAAAATGTCTCTTAAACCTTGTTCACTCTATGGTTGAGCTCAACATGACATGTAACTCACTTTCTAAACCAGAAGACTGTAATTATACTGGAAGAACAAAGACTAGAGGTAATTGCTGACTAGAAAACTTTGTTACAGAGTCACTTGACATCCCAGAAGTTTTCCCAATACTTGCTATCCTCTTGTTCAGGAGGTCACCAATTAAAAGACAAACTCAAGGAGCAAAGGAACAAAACTCATGTCCACATTTCTTTTAATTTTACTCAGAAATATAAAAGTGCAATTTCTGTAAATTAACAACGTTTACAGTACATCACAATAAATATGCCACCTTGTGACATCTAAAAAGTCTAGTTATTTATTTGAAAGGAGTCATATTGAGATAAAAACTGCATCAACATCAACAAAAAATAACCTGTCCCAGTAAAGATGGCCTTAACATATTAACTAGCAAGATGCATATTCCATTATTGCTATTAGACCATGCCTCCGAGTTCCAAAGTATAAAAACTTGACAGTTAACACAAAATGAGATTTTTCTCATCACAGGCACAATCTAACATAAAAAATAATTTTGCAATTTACAATGTAGGAGATTCTCCTACGAGGAGAAGGAAAAAATAATTAATACAGAAACATACAGCTGTGATGATTTGCTAAGTCCACAGAAAAGCCGCAATTTGCACAGTTATTAAACTGTTACATGAACATATAGTGTCTTTCCCACTCCTGGCCTGGTGAGAACAGGCCTTTTAGTAAATTTACTACAATTTGCCAGCTACCTCCAAGTATGCAGACCTTAAATATCCCAACACAAATCGCATGCAGGTGCTTTGTGTCCTGAACAGCCTAGTCTCATATATTTAAGGAGTGTAAAGGATTTTTGCCAGTACTGTACTGTTTCCACCTATTTACCCAGAATAGACTGTGTCTCTGATTGCAAAACATTAAAAGTCAGATACGACAAAATAAGATTTCAAGTACCTTAAAGCCCATTTTTAAAATAATTTTTTGAACTCTAAGCAGTCACTATATATATACAATATACCATTTTCTAGTCAATACTTATTTGGATTGACCAAATAAGGTTGAACACTCATTTGTGCCTCATTACTGTCAAAATGGAATACAAAAACTCCAGTGTACTATCTGTAACACACCTAGATTATAGAAAAATAAAACTCCTTTTTTTAAGAGTCCCTTCTCTCCTTCAGGAACTGCAACAGAAGTGTTTATCTGCTCTAGGAACGCCTTTCATAGCAGAACTGAGTATTTCTAGAGAGAAATAAGTGTCTCAACCATTTCATCTGGCCTACGAAATAGGACATTACTTCTCTCCTCCATATCAGTCTTGCTTTAGATGTAACCTCAAAAGCAAATCAATGAAGATTAGGTGTGGGCAAGGTCTAAAACTTTGGCAACACGGTTTCCAAAAAGGTAAGAAGAAAAAAAAAGTTTAAGCTACGGAACTGTTTAAGGCAACCTGACCAAAGTAAAGATAAGGCTTTTAGATAACTCTCTGAGGAGAATGAGAAATCCGATTGGGAACGATTTCAAGCATGGAGAGACATTTATGGAGCTTGAATGGACTGATATCTTATTGGACTGACTGTTATTCCCCAGTTCATCATTGGTTTTATATTAAGTTTAATGTACCCCAATGTTATTCCCCTCAGTCCCTCAGATTTTCCCTCCAGAAGTTGTTTACTCCCCTGTTCTCCCCTGCTTTCCCGCTCCTCTGTCACTGATTGGCTGAGAGTTGCCGCAGTGCAGAGTGAGCTACCATTGGTCCTTTCCCCCCGATACCCACAAGTCACACCCACCTTTCCCCTGTCTCCCAATCCTGTCTCACCCTTGGTTGTCAGTCCCATGCACCTCCCCAGTTATGAATCCTCCCCTCAGACTTACCCTATATAAGTCTCTGTGTCCTCTTAATAAATTGGCATTGCACCCAGACCCTCGGCTGCGTCTGAACCCTTTTGTGTGGTGCCGCGTCCCTATTCCCTTTTCCCCTCAGGCCGTGGAAGATGGCGCCCAACGTGGGGCGCAGTTGAAGGTCTCTCATATTGCGAGAACTCCTGCGTCCTCACTTGGGCTCAGAGATCATCAGGAGTGGTGATCATCCCGCCAGTCCCCCCCAGCTGGACGGACGACTGTGGGCTGTGGAGTCGCACGGGTCGACACACCAGAAGGTGAGCAGCTGGGGACAGTCCACTTCCCACCCTGACACCCTCACCCAAAAAACAAAAAAGGGAGGAATAGTAACACCAAGGACTGTCACAGAAGTCTTTATAACATCAAAATGGGACTCTCGCTGTCCACCTCCCAAAGGCTTGTTTACAGACGCCTCAAAGATTTCATCATTGAGCACGGTCACCCCCTAGATAAAAAATCTGCTAAAGCGCTCGCCAAGTGGCTGGACCACAAAGGTCACAGACTTATAGAAGACACCTCTGTAGACCAGTGGCAAGCCATCGGCTACAGCCTGTGGCGAGATAATGACAGGGGGGACCGGACAGCAAAGGAGGCGTTGATAGCCTGGAGGCTTGCTCTGATGGTGCTACAGCACCAAATGATGAGCACGAACGACAGCCTCCGTGAGACCACCAAATCAGGACTGATACAGACACAAGATAGCGGGAGGGGAGGAAAGACCACCTCACGGCATGCACAAAATGGTGTCGGGAAGGAGGGAGGCAGAAAGCGCGAGGAGCAAAGGCGGGAAAAGTTGCCGCGGGAGTCACCAGCACGGGAAAAGAGGGGGCGGGCCCCCTCGGTACCACCCTCCAGACCGCCTCTGCCCCCACCTGCGTGTGTCAGGGATCCCTCCCCCGACACGCACATACGCACACCCTCTCCCTCCAGTTCCGCCTCTTCACCAGAGAGACCTCCCTCCAGGGATGGAAGGGTAGTGAGGGGCGGGGCCAGGGCGAAGGTCAAGTCCGGTTTCTGGCAACGTGGCCACGCCCATAGGGCCTGTACCACCGAGGCCTATCCCGCCTGCCGCTACCCTGACTCGGACACAGATTACTCGCAGCACTCCCCTGAGAGGCAATCAAAACAGCCTAACATCTGGAAAGCCTTCAGGGAAGAGGCTGCGCAGGCAAATGATGCAGACTTTCTTAAAGCATTCCCTATTTACTTGGAAGAGGGCAAGGCCCCGGAGTGGAGGCCTATCTCCTATCCCATGCTGAAGGATATAAAGGTGGCGATAGTACAGTATGGGCTAGGAGCGCCTTTTACCATCAGCTTCCTAGAGTAATTTTTCTTGGCTTACAGACTAATTCCTTATGATATACGGGCAGTAGTGAACGGACTTTTTTCCACCATCCAATCATCTGTTTTTGAAACGGAATGGAAAAAGCTGATTACTACTTATGTTAACGAAAAAATGGAACGAAGGGGGATCCCGGTGAGACAGGTCATAGACATGCTTTATGGCGAGGGAAATTATTCAAGCAGAAACGATCAGGCCAGAATTGAACCTAAATTTTTAGATGTTACAAAAGAATTGGCAATGGAGGCAGTCAAGAGGGTGGTGGACGCCTATGTCCAGACCTCTTCTTTTACATTAATTAATCAGGGCCCTAAAGAACCTTTTATGGACTTTATTATGAGACTAAAGGAGGCAATTAGCCGGCAAGTCCAGCAAAAGGAGAGTCAAGAAATTTTATTTAACAAATTGGTAATCAAAAAGGCTAATGAGGACTGCCAAAAAGCTTTGAAAATGTTAAAAAAACCACCTCTGCTTGAAATGATAGACGCTTGCAAGAATACTGGCTCAGGCTCCCATAAAGCACGTCTATTGGCGGCTGCTCTCACCGGGTCACAATCATGTTTCAATTGTGGGCAGAAGAGACACTTTAAAAAGCACTGTCCAAGATTACCACTTGAACCAAACATCCCTAAAACACTCTGCCGGAGGTGTGGGAAGGGCCGCCATTGGTCCTCTAATTGTAGGTCGTTAACAAACATCAATGGCAAGCCCCTCCCCCCAGAAAATCCCCAGGGCTAAAGAGAAAAGTAACATTCAGCTCTTTACCAGATCTTTGCCTGTGCTCTTGTGAGCATTCGGGAAACGGGGGGTAGAGCGCTCAGGGGGGCGCGTTGACACAAGTATCCCCTCAGCTCCATTCCATCCTGCGCCCGACACTGCGCCCAGCTACCCCGTAGTGCAGGAGCCTCCGTCAGATCCAGTCCCCATTAAACATCAGTGTACCCCGCTAAAATGGATTATACTATCAGTGATACACCCTTCAATTCATTTAAGTTCCTATGAGCAGCTGGCCAGGGTCAGGCCATCTGCTAATGTGAACCCGGACAAGACATATTTAGTCATCTCTCACTTTTCAGTTGTGGAAAGAGGCATTGTTGTAGTTCCCACTCTCCTGACAGGGTTGACCAATGATAACATCGCTGTGTGTCTAACTGCTTCTCCCACCTGTACAGCTAGAGAGCCGCTTTCCCGTCGCCAAGATGGTGCGTGGTGTCCAAGGACGAGGAACAGAGGAATGAATCACTGAAGGAAGTCAACTGGGCAACCTCAGTGAGGACCTCGCGACCTCTTTTAACTTGTCTTATTTATTTTTCTACACCTAGGCACCCGCAGAAAATTAAGGTGGAGGGATTGTTAGACACGGGAGTGGACGTCACCATCCTAGCCTCTAGAGACTGGCCGTGCGGCTGGCCAGCTCAGTCTACAGACACCAGAGTAAGCGGTGTGGGAGGGTCGCAACACCCCATCAGGAGTCGTGAGGTATTGACAGTGTATGGGCTGGAGGGCAGGCCGGCATCCCTGCAACCGTACGTTCTGAATATTCCAATAACATTATGGGGACGGGACGCCATGGAACAGTGGCAGTTAACTTTGAGAACGGAGGAAAATTTTTAGGGGGGGTCACTGAGCAGGTGCAGTGCAGAGTGAGCTACCATTGGTCCTTTCCCCTGGATACCCACAAGTCACACCCACCTTTCTCCTGTCTCCCAGTCCTGTCTCACCCTTGGTTGTCAGTCCCATGCACCTCCCCAGTTATGAATCCTCCCCTCAGACTGACCCTAATAAGTCCCCGTGTTCTCTCAATAAATTGGCATTGCACCCAGACCCTCGGCTGCGTCTGAACCCTTTTGTGTGGTGCCGCGTCCCTATTCCCTTTTCCCCTCGGGCCGTGGCAACTCTTTCCAAAGATATCCAGTTTTCTTAGCTTTGCAAAGTAATATAATTCAACTAACTTTCTGGTCAGATTTCCATTCGTAAGCTTCTTTTAAAAAATATTTACCTTCCTAGAATATGGTATTAACTGAATATAAAACATAAGAAAATACTATGTATTACAGGCAATGTAAAAAAAGCTACAGATAAGCACACAGATGGGCAAGTATTAAAAATTATATGGTCATGAGAAAAGTTTTAAGCTCTCTGAGGTATAGCAATATCTTAACACCACAGGTTTGAAATATCATACAGAGACTCAGGATATCGTAGTATTGGTGTAACTACCAAAGCAAATTTTTGGGTTTGTGTTTTGTGTTTTGGTTTCTTTTTTTTTTTTTAAATACCTGTAAAGGTCACCGCTACAAAGATTGAGCAGCTTGAATGAAAAATACATAAAATTAGTGTATCTGGCCTATGTATTTTAACATTACATTCAGAAAATTAAGAGTGGAAATAAGAACTGCCCACACTGTAACTGCATGTCCAAGTATTTGGCTGGAATGTACCAGAAGCAGAGATCATAAACATTGACATAAATTCATATCACGAATCTGAGCTGGGTTGGGAGGGATGAGACAAAAAACGGAAGGCAATGAGAGGTTTAAAATTCACACATTAGTAATCATGAGGTAACCGACATAAGCCACTAAAATTTAGTAAGATCTGCTTTTTGTGGCTGAACAGTTTTCCTCCTCCTGTGTATTGGCAAATGGGTAAAGAAAAAGAAGTATTCTGACCATTTCCAACTTCAAAATTTACACCAATTACTTTTATTGTATTATTCTAATCAAACCAGAAGTGCTCCCCTTAGCATATTTTAGATCTAGATCTGTTTTAAAAGGTAAAAATCACATTTGCCAATATTGTTTAAGTAAATTATGTGTGCTTCTTTAGGCTCACCCACAGCTGCAAGCAATTGTGTTCAGCTTGGTTTAAATAAAATAAAAAACAATGAGCTAAAAACACAAGGTCACTTAACCTTCTTCCTGGTTGATTTACCTTTAGTTAAAATTGTAATGTTTTACTAAGCCATACCAACTCTGACCATACTGGGAAAGTGTCTCTGGCACAAGTGGTTTTCAGAAGAAAAGCTGGTCTTCCCAACAGCTCTTTCTTCTGCTTCATCTTAAAGTGCAGAAACTGTGGGAAAGGATAACAAGACTTGCTGTTCGTCACTGTGGAACTACTTCCCTTAGAGAGGCTAAGGCTGCATGTATGCGGACGTGCAATCTGTTCTCAAAGTCATAGCCAGAAAATTCCTCCTGGGGGAAAAAAAACCAAGAAGAAAAACACCAAACATATAACTGTTAGCCTCCTTCACTTCAAGACATGAAGACAATTTTGCTACTAGTGCTTGAGAAGTCATATTACAAAAGAGTCCAAAAGAAAAGAGGTGAACTGGAGACTGCACGTTGCAATATCCTGACGTTACCCAAAGCAAAAGAATTATTAGAGATATTCAAAAAGCTCTAGCCCAAGGCAGGAACCAGTTGGAACTGACAAGGAGTGGAGAGCTGTCATTTTCAAAATTTCTGTAGCAAAATCTTAGTTGAAAAAAGCAAGGTTCTAACAGTCCAGGAGAGGTCACTAAAATGGGCTCTGCTATGACTGACCTAGGAATACATAGCTATGTAACATACATAAATGTGGATCATATACATACATTCATGCATATCTATATGATAGTGCTGTAGGCTATAGGGGAGCGACACCACCACTTAACATCCACTCCACCTGCCCCAAAACCACAACCTCCCAAGTGCCTTCATCTCAAAAATCTAAATTTGAAAGTGCCTGGTTTTTACCTTGGCTTGGAGCAGTAAGGTTTTGCCTCTTGGCACAGTCTACAAAAAGACAAACACTGCATTAGAAACACATCAAAAATGTTACAGAAAATATCTTAAGTAAAGGACATGGTCAGTTTGGAGTAGCACCTCTATCTTGAAAAAAGGTACTGAGCAGACAAAAACCTCTCAAATTAGGAAACTAGAAATATTAATGAGGCACCCAAGACAGTATTATGTATTTCTAGTCTATAGAAAATGCAAGTTGCTGCTGATGATGGTGAGCTACAAGAATGTATAAGGGAACAAATGAGGCTACAAATAATTGACTAATTGATCATTACAGTAGTTTCTGTTTCTTAATTAAAGTTTAAGCCATTTATTTACAAAAAAAGTATATTAAGCATTAAGAGTTGTTCCAGAAATTTCAGTTTCAAACTCTTATGGAAAGAAAAATATATTTGCAGATTAATATTTACCGCTGAGAAGTTCCTGTTTTATTTCTTATATAGTACACCTTTAATTTAAGCCTTACAAATAAATAAGATATAGAAAAATGAAGTTCCCTTATTCATATGTACCTAAATATGACTGTATCTAGTTTTATTGGTTACAATTCACTCAGTGTCTAAGACAACTACAAAAAAATCTGTAAATTTCAAGATTTTAATATGGTTACATCAAGAAGAACTTGATTAGGATTCAATTTAAAATAACAAAGATGATCCAGATGACATGGTAAATCAAACATGTAATTATGCTTAACAATAACTTCAAAGCAAAGTAAATTTAATAACAGCATGGTTTTTATACTAAAATGCATATTGATATCTGTTGCTCAGGTCTGTAATATGCTCTGCCTCTCATGTAAATGTGATTCATAAAATCCTATTCCTTTCTTAGCCATTATAGAGCTCTACCAGGACACCTCAGTTAGTAAATGAAATTTTCTATAAACAGCATCCACTTGCCTCTAATTCTAGCTCTTGCTTTTCCCTATCTCATCCCACTCTATTCAAGTTAAGCATCATTTATTTCCTCATTGCCTAAGTGCCACAAGAGGGAGTTTTCTGCATGTCCTTCATACACTAAGCACTACCACAGGTCCCCTGTAGAGCTACATGCCAAGCTTGTGCAGCCCTCAAAGACCCAATATGAGGCACGTTTGGTTACTGTGTGCACATCCTACATGTAAAGCAGGAGGAAGGAAGGACTGCTCTCATATTCTCCAAATAACCACATAACTTCACTACCCACCACACCCTTTCTTTAGAGACACCTGACACCATCAAATTTAAACAGTAACATGGAAAAAAAGGCAGAAAGAATAATACAGGACTCAGACCTCCCTTCTAGGCTTCAAGGCCCAGCTCCAAGTTTTAGGGCAGCAGACTTTTCAAAAAGTACATTTACTTTTAAAAGCATTTTCTAATTCTGTCCTTTGTCATGACAATCATCTTTATTGAGAGAGGGGAAGGTTCAGCTCAGATGATTATATGTGACAACATCAAAACCAACTGAAAACAGAATCTTAAGAATATGAGAAACTATCAACACAACTACTTCTTAAGAATATGAGATATTATCAGCCTAACTACTTCATACACTACATACAATGAAGGGGGGTTCAAGTCACTACCCTGTAACCACTTCCTCCAACTTTCAATCTGATTAAGGATGTACTACACAAGGTGGCATAAACTCCAAGTAGTGCTGCTACACGTTTGAGGAAGGAAAACATAACAAATGCACAAGTGGTACACAAGTTGCTCTCTTTTAAGATTCTTCAGGTTTCCTAGGAGGCAGAGTACGTGCAAAGACCTAAACAATCAAATGTATCATCGGCCAAGCCATTTGGACAGTCTGAAAGCCAGGTGGATTATCTTCCTCTTCACCCTGAACAACAAAACCCTCACTAGTCAGGGTGAGAATCAAAATGTCCATACAACAACCTTTAATGGAATTTAAATGACTGAAAACACTTGCTATTTTAGGAAGGCATCAAATTCTATTTGGAAAGGATAACTACAAGCATTCTTTGAGCTTGAATGGCATCCAACAGGATTTTAAATAGGTAAGAAAATGACCCTACGCATCCATGATACTAAATACCACCTGTAGACAAGAAATCCCCGCCTACCCAAGGCATTCTGGCCAGGCTTTTTTTGCCACCAGCAGCAGGAACACTCTCTATATTGAAAAAATAAGACATTGTTACCTTAAATACATTCCATTTCTTGGATTGAAAAAAACCAAAACCTAAACACAAAATAGTAATTTTCTTTAAAGTAGGTATAAAACAAATTCTTAAAACTTCACATACATTATCACCCATAAATTTTGTTTCATTCTTTATACAGTGGTATGCTGACTCTTTATGCTCATTTTAAGAGTTTAAAAACAGTTTATGCTATTACCTCTGGATTGTCTAACAGAATACAGCCAAGTTCATAGCAAGCATATGGCTGGACGTACAAGTTGCTTTGACGGCAGAGTTCATCTTTTGCAGCTCGCTGAAAGTACTGTACAAATGAAAGGAAAAAAACCCAAAAAACTGCAGTAATTTATTAAAATTGACTGTTTGATACTTCAAAACAATTAAGAAGCACCATTCAACTTTAAGCATTAGAAATTAGCCAAAGCTAAATTAAGAATACATTAAATATTTACAACAGTATAGATTCCTAGATGTTTTTACCAACACTACTGTATCAAGGCAAAATAACTTCTCTGCATTTTAACAAAGTAACATATTGAGTGTTCCAAGAGTTTTCCAACTTCATATTGAAAAAAATATTAGATCTAACAAGGAACTTTAACATCAGTGATGAAGTACCTAGATTATTTAAGATATGTTTGAGAGAAATGAGAAGGGGGGAGGGATTCAAAGCCAGCATCTTGCTGCATATGTGAATTGTATTCCATTTTGGGGAGGAAAAAGGAAAGCTGTGCCTACGGAGCAAAACCTGAAGCAGTGGCAAATTTTTTCTCTGGTATGTGTGCTAAAAATCAAATCTCTCAGTGTCTAGTAGTCGTGGAGAAGCAGTAAATGTGTGCTTTCAAAAGGTCAACCTCCAAGGTACTTTTTTTAAAAAAAGATTAATTTTCATTGTTGGACAAAGTAAATCTAGCAGAGCAAAAACTTTTTATAACTTTTATCTTCCTAGCTTCCCCTTAACTCTTTCTACTATAAGCCACATTGGTTGCCATGGTCATTCAGCACAGTGAACTACTTTTACAACACAGAATATAATGACAGCATGTTAAACCAAAAGATTTTAGAAGAACCTATTAGAATTCACAAACCAGAATGATTACTAGCACTGAAAACTAATGACTTGCTTAACACTTACTCAACAATATTTACTGTTTAACAGAATAGCTTGTAAAATAGGATTAATGGTGTAAATTACTATTTAACAACTTACCTGAACGGCATCTTCAGAATTTCCTAAACATTTGTGTATGGCACCAAGAAGCAAATTCCTCAAACCAACGGCCGATGAATCATCAACATCCTGACAAGCTTAATGAAAAGGTTCCAGTAAACAAACAAGATGGATTGAAATCCTTCCTTAGACAAGAACTGTGGCCTATGGTGTGTTTTAGTCCAATGTTTAAATTTAACCGGACAAAGGAGATGCTAGTAACATTAACATAAAGCAAAGTAATTTGTCTTCTTTTAAATACAACCCATTTTGTATGAACTTCATCAAGAAATCTTGTGACTCCTGAGAGCAATTCCTAACAGGAATTAATGAGCTGAAGTCAAAGGAAGTTGGTGTGTTCTTCTCACAAGTAGAGGAGAATCCGTTTCTCTACCAGTCTTTGAAATAACCACTAAAAAGTCAAGTTAAGAAACAATCACCTCCTTCTGGTGTTATGGGAAACTGGTTTGTGCCACACATTGAAAAAAAAATACACAGTCCCAAATTATGAGGAGCACAGGGCAAACAGTTCAGACAAACCTGATTTGTTCTGAACTGAAGCCAAGTGACAGACGCACAAAAATCTGTACTGGACCTAAAAACCCAGACTAGGGTATTTTGGCATCACGATTCTCAGTGATGACGAGACGATAAGGCTTATTTGCCAGACCTTAGCTGGTCAACGATCCAGGGACAGACTGTGCCTCAGCTGAGTAGTGCTGTTTCCAGGAAAACCTGTATCACAATGCATGAACAGTTTCTAGATGAATCAGGCTCCATTTTGATCAAGCTTATTAGAGCGAGCTCTGTTAAACCAGGACTAGTCCCATGAGGACCCATTCACACTTGTCAGCACCATCACCTCCAAGAAGGCAAGGGTACGGGGAGGCCTGCAGGGCTTTTCATCACTTAACTGCTGTCTCTGGAGCAGTACAACTCCTTAAACATTTTGCCTCATTGCATAAACCCTGCCAGATCTTAACCAGCTCTGCATTCACAGTTAATCCATAACCCAAAGAAGCCATCTATGGATAACTAAGAGTTGGCTGCATGAAGTATTTGGGCTGACAACTCATCATTGCAAGGCTTGAGTTACTTGGTGTTTTACTTACAGAGATACAGGTGGATACAAATTATTCTTTTAAGTCAAGTTCTAGCCCTGAGGAAAACCCTGGAAATCCACCACAGTAAATTACAACTCAGTTGTTCATGAGAAGAGGAAACAAATATATAAAAAAAATTCCTTATCATCCATGTTCTTGAGATACACATAAGGTGTATCAAAAACAGTCTCACCGCACACATCTTCAGCCAGGGATGGCTGATGCAGACCTGTCAGTGTCAAACTTAGAAGAAGCTTATCTCTGAATTTTCATCTGTACTGCTATTTCATATTAAAATGTGAACCACTGACTAGAAGCTTATACAAGGGAGATCTACACTGCTTCTGGGTGGGCAGGAGAGAACACATACTCTTTACACCCTCAAAAGCTGACTGTTCTGAAGGTGAATGACAGCCAAAAAAAATCCTCACATTTATTTTTATGTGAGTAAATCTGCTTTTAAAGCCGACCATTAGCTTTGTGACTAGAAAACTAGAGACATGAATATAACCCACTGCCATCACTCAATTTAAACAGACAAATTATCTTAAATTAAAACCAGAACAAAACACCACTACTAGTCCTGACTCTCAACTTCAAGACTGATAGTTTTCTAGTTTAACATGAAAATTGCATACAATCCCCAAGACTTCACAACTACCAAAAAAAAAAAGACAACCCCATAGGAGACAATTTTTGTTTTATTTTCTAAATGAGCAAGTAATTATCTAGAAATAATAATAATAAAAAAATAAATTTAAAAAGAGAGGATTTTAGAATGGTTTGGGTTGGAAGGGACCTTAAAGATCTTGTAGATACAACTCCCTTGCCCTGTTGCAGGGACACCTTTCACTAGACCAGGTTGCTCAAAGCCTCATCCAGATTGCCCAAGTCTCATCCAGCCTGGCCTTGAACACTCCCAGGGATGGGACATCCACAGCTTCTCTTAGCAACATCAGTGCCCTCACCCTCACAATAATTTCTTCCTAATACCTAATCTAAATCTGTCCTCTTTCAGTTTGAGGCCATTCCCCCTTGTCCTATCAGTACATGCCCTTTTAAAAAGGGTCTTTCCTGCTCTCTTGTTGTACACCTTTAAGTACTGAAAGATGCTCTGAGGTCTGCTTGAAGCCTTCTCTGCTCCAGGCTAAACAGCTCCAACTTTCTCAGCCTGTCTTCATAGGAGAGGTGTTTCAGCCCTCTGATCATCTGTGTGTGCCTAATCTGGATCTGCTCCAACAAGTCCATGCCTCTTCCTGTGCTGAGGCTCCCAGAGATGGATGCAGTACTTCAGGTGGGATCTCACAGGGCCTCACAAGAGCAGAGTAGAGGGGCAGAATCATCTCCCTCGATCTGCTGCCCATGCTGCTTGTGATGCAGCCCAGGATGCAGTCGGCCTTCTGGGTTGGGAGCTCACGTTGCCAGCTCATGTTGAGCTTCTCTTCAGCTAATTTGAAACTGTTTGCAGAATGTAAATAAGAGTGACTGCTGGATGGAGGGAGAAGTACAGTAAACCTCATGATAAACACTGCTACCACAATCTTCATGTGACAGACATCTGAAGACATCTGGAGACTAAGAAAGAGGCAATCATTCACCACGTCCCAGCAGCCAAGATAAACAGAACGCCTATCATGTCATAGATGACCTCACAAGCGACCTACTTCCTCTTGGAAGAAAACTGACGTGCAGAAACAAATCGGTAGATTTATTTTGTTATTTTTTAGCTATGTTTAAATTAGTTATATTTTGTTTAGTGACTCGGAACAGTAACTATCATGATATTGTTTCATTTTAAACAATGATTAACAAACAACTATATGCAGCAGGCAATGAAGCATTAAGCTGAATCGTAATAGGCCATTATTCTATGGTTACTCAAAGTGTATTTTGCTATGACACATACACACAAGTTTAACTTTTCGTGCTACTACGATCAGCTACTCCACACAACAGAATAAAATTATACGCCCGCCTTTTAAGAAGTAAATAAATAAATCAAGCTTATACCATGATAAACCTTATAAATAAATCAATATTATACCTTGACTCATATGCTGTAAGTTCGAGAGGGAACAGTTTGGAAGGGCCTTCCATAAGTATAATACTTCAATGGATGCCAGGACACACAGCTCTTTGGTCGGCATTTGTTTTCTAAATCTATCTGCCTGCAAAGTGGAGAGAAAGAAGGAAGGGAGATCCATCATTTATCCTTTTATGGGGTCATAATATTCCCAAACAATATATCACAAACAGTAATTTTAACTGTTTCATAAAGTCACACAACAATTCTACGAAAGTAAGTCAATGGTAACTTAGCTTAAAGACTTTTAGACTAAAAAGCAAAAATCTGTCAACTAATTTAGGAGCTTACCTATTGATCAAAATTAAAACTTCCTTTGTGCAGCCTGACCAGTTTTACTGTATTTCACAGTCCCCACTACGCAATGATTGGATGCTGAAACAGTAACATCTGCAACGTATCAGATGGGAGCTATTTCCTAGACAACTCCTAGCTTTCAAAAAGAACTAAGGCTTTTACAAACAAGACAAGATAAAAACGAGTAAGGAAGGCAAAGCTAGAAGGAAAATTACCAAAGCAACTACAGTATCACGTATTTTTATCTTTAATAATGACTTTAGTTGTAAAGTGAATAGATAATTCACATTTCCTTTGCTACATCCTTCAAATACATTTGACACTATTCTTTTTCCTTCCCACTAATTCTACAGAAGCAACACAAAAGAAAACAGATATATCCTTCAAAAAGAAAATACTGTTAAAGAACTGAACTGTTATTACTGCACCAAAACAAGTCAGCCTGTGTTAAAACTAACCTTTTTCACTGAAAATTGTTCTATTTGATTGTTTTTTCTTTTGAAAAGCTTCTGAACTTCCTTGAACACATTCTGAGCACCACTGACATCACCAGTGGCTCCTTGACACACTGTAAGAACAGAGAAATATGTTAACACTACTGGGATATAAAACACAAAAAATTAAGATTAGATATCACATGGTCACAGAAAAACAAACAAACTCACTTCAAGAAAGCATCTAGACCGAGGATCTGACAAACATGATAATCCCAACTTCCCCTGGTACCCCTCTGTGATTATTAACAAGTCAGTACTACTTTTATATAACCATTAAAGGAAGTAATACCACCAAGCTTCTAAAGATTTATTTATTAGATCTTTGCAATACAACTGTTACATGTCCCTACACTGACAATCCTAATTGTATCTACATCGAGAGGGCGTACACACAGGCATGTACACGTGTGAGCATGCAAGTGTTCATTATATAAACAAACAAAATTATCCAAGTCAAGTCTGGCACAAAGCTGCAAAAGCAGCAGGCAGCGTGGAAGGCACTGCACACACGAGCAAGTTTCCCAAAACAAAACAGTGCCAAAACCTTAGCACATCACTGATTTATCATCTACCCAACACACTGAATGTACTCACCTGCTGTTAAATAAGCATAGTAGCATTGGGACCACCTGGATTCATTTTTAAGCCTTTCGAAGGATTCAAATGCATCTTTGAAGTTCATCTCTATCATGCTGCACCAACCTAGAAGCAAAACTGATTTAATTCCAGGGAAAGTACAGTCATTCAAATTTGGTGTCAACATTATTGAAACACACAGTCTACTACGAGAGCTGGAGCTACTTTAACAATTACAACAGTAACTGGAAAATTAAAAACAATGTAAATGAACTACATATATTTAAAGCCTGGTTTAAATTTACTGAGAAATTCTGAATTATAAGATTTTACACAATACAATGAATCCACTTCAGAGCAACAACAAATCTATACAAATACCAAAATCTTTTTTAAAATTTAGATACAATATTTTGTAGGATACTAAAACTTAAAAAGCTACTACTTGTTCCTTTATTTCCCACTGTCACAAATTCCCATTTACAGCTTGAAGCAACATATCTTCTCCACTCTAAAGAGCTGTATGCAAGATCATATAGCGTATACTACTACCGAGAGAAGGAAATGAACATGAAATACAGATCCTGCAAACTGTGAAGGTTTAGACTGATTACTTTTTGGTAGAGAAATGATGATTCCATGGACAAATTAAATGAGTTAATTTCTAATTTTAAATAATATTCAGTAAGTGAACAGTGTGCCCTTGATTCCACAGTCTGATTTTGCATCCCCTTGTGTTTGCAGAAAAATTTATTATGAAAAATACTTGCCCAAACAAGAAAATAGGTTTATTACCATAATCCGTCCAAGACAAAGGCCAGTATTCTAAAACCTTTTTAAAAATCATCATAAAAAGAATCCAGTTTGCTTATTGAAGCTGCCAATCTAAACTTGAAAATGAGCCATTTATGGCGTAAACATATCCAACATACCTATTTCATATAAGCAGACATGCTGAATCTCCCTTTGGTCTGTTGCAAGCTCCAAAGCAGTATGAAATGAGGTCAAGGCACTATTGATTTGACACTAACAAAAGTGAAAGAAGAAAAAAAAAAAAATCAGACTAAAATTTAAAATTTGTTCGATAATTTGATTTTGATAAAGAAAACAATCAGATTTCTGTTAATAGGAAATTAAACATAATAGAAGAGTTTAACAGTGTAGCAACAGCCAGTTCAGATTATCTCTCAACCTTACAAGTAAGTAAGTGACTGTATTTTCTATTACGTCAGAAATTCCTTGGTTTTGTGCAGTAAGCTTTAGGGTAGTCTCATTTTTACGCTTATTAGTCATTCCACCTTTAGAAGTCATATTTTTAGCATCTGCCAATGAAGTTTAGCTTTCTGCACAATAAGGGTACCATTAGTGTTTGATTTTATTTATTTTGAACTTTTCACCTTTTCCCATATCCCTCAGCAACCACTTTAAGCAGCAGTTAATAGAGAATTCATAAATGCTGCATGACACATTAGAAGATAAAAAGGCACATGAGAGAAAAAAACATTTTGATAAAATCATTAGTTAGCAACAGCTTAGCAAAAAGAGGATGACATCCTTCTAAGAACTAGAATGATAGTTCTTTTGACTACCTTAATTTCTAGTTTTCCCAGACTAGGATGGGATTTGTCCATACCAGTTATTATGGGGAGGGAATGCAAAACAATATTTGTTTTACATATACATACTGTATATTCCAATATGGCCTGTACCTGCTTTAATAGCATTCCTATATTTATTCTCACATACAATTATAATAATTTATATTACAGAAGAATTTTTAAGCCCCTGTCTGCTGACTAAGCAGGTAAGTGAAAGAAACCCTTGCAAGGGCAAACCCATGATCTGTGCAAGCATAACTGAATTCAAAAATTCCTACAAAAATCTGCGGAATTGTATCTTAAGTCCATGAACACACAGAGCTCTGAAGTGATTTTTTAGGTTTTCTCCTTTGTCTCATCAGGGAAAACTGTTTTAGTTGCTAAAGAACAATTTCATTGAAAATAATACATACTGCATCAAGACAGCCAACAGGCAGCAAAGGGATCCACACCTGTACCAACATAAACACTGTACCCCTAGAAAATACAGTGGTGATGAAACTAAGATGCTTGTAGGCAAGGCAGAAGGTGAGTTATATTTGCCCTCAAAATTACCAGGAAGCCTGAGCCATGTACACCTCGTTTACTTTCGTAGCAGCACGTTCTCTCCACTACACATTATCCCAACACGCCTTCCTAGAAAATAACTGTTATGGGCCCAATCTTACAGAAAAAAATAACGTCAGTTTAGAACTTTATCTTTGTGCTAGGAAGTTCAAAAGCTTATCTGTAAATCTATGTTTTGAATGATTCTGAGGAAAATGGAAAAAAGAAAAAGAAAATCTAAATATTTAGCCTTCTTTGAAGATACTTTGCCTTCTAAAATCCTAAACATTTCAAACCAGAAATCAACTTATTTGTAGGACATGTTATTCCACACAATGACTACCGGCAATTAAATCATTGTCTGCAATGCCATACACCAGCCTGGGGCAGTACATGAAACACCAACCACTCAATACGAGTCCAGTTGGTTGAATATTCAATCTTCTATAATCTATCCTTTTAACTGTCTACATCTCACAAGTGTTTTGACATCTGTCTAACTTTTCCTTCAGCACCAATCTCGGTTAAGTATGTTTCAGAGACATTCCTTAATAAATACAGTTTCAATCATCTCTAGGGATTGTGACAATGTGCTGGAATACGAATTTTTACTCTTAGTGTTAATTCTTAAATTAATTACTATTTGTTTACTGTTTCAAAGAATAAACAGAAAGGATTATAAAGGCCCAAGAGTCTGCAAATATAACATCTTAGCTGCACCTGAAACTGATGTTCCTGAGATTTATAAATATATATAGACACACTTTTAATTCCTTCAACAGGCACTAACTACTCATGCCTCTCTTGGACATAATACAAAGACAAAAAAGCCCATTAAGACATAAAATGTGTAATTTACAGAATTACATAACCATAAAAAAGATTAATAAAGCTAATGTGAGAACCCTAATCTTACATTTCTTGACTTCACTCTAAAACTGAAAGCACCCCAACCCATCAACTAAGCATCTACAGAGCTTACCAGGCCCAAGCGGCTTCCCAAGCCAACACACATTTCCCCAAAGAGTTGTTCTGAAATCTCAGGACACTGTTCCTTCTCCCAGAAGGATTCTATTCTCAATCAGCACTCTGAATTTGTAAAGCTTTTAAGAAGTCACGTTCATAATTCAGGGGAAACCAGAAAGCAGTTTCCTGCTAAAAGGCAACAATTTACACCAGAGAACACTATATGGACATTTCAATGCCTCTGTTTTCTATTCCTTAGCACACAGAAACCCATTTTTTCTTAGACATGACACAAAATCAAAATAGAATAAAACTAGGATACTGTACTTTGTAGCCTAGAAGAAGTAACCAGAAAAGCCAGCACAATTCTTGAAAATAAACCTTGACATTACACAAGCCCTGCAAATTTCTTTACTTTAGACATCACTGACTTTCTTCCAGAAAGTTCATTTAAGACTTTTCAATGCTTATTATTACTCTTGCCCTCAGTCTACTTTTCCATACCACACCCTCTTACTCCTAAATAAGAATGATACCACTGATACAAAAATGTCTACAAAAAGTAACTAAAAAACCAAGAGTACCTGTCAGCATTACATTTAAGCACAGTGAACATTTTCAGAAGCCTGCACATCCCACACACTTTCATACACCTGAATGTATGAATGGTGTTTTGCCCATCAGGTGGAGTATTTGGTACTTTTCCATTCAGACTCTTTACATGCACCTATACCCATTGAACTCCATGGATCAAGCCCCAGAACCCAAGTTTTCTGTCCCAGCCCTAAAGATTTCTTATTGTTTATATATACATATGCAGAGTCTGTTCCTAATCAAAGAGAAACAATAGTTTCAAATAGTGTTGCTGATCAGGAAAAAAAGAAAAAAAAAGGGATAGCAAAATTGCAAGCCGAAAAGCAGAAATAGGTAAGATCCAGAACACCACCTCTCACTCTGCCCTCTCCCAGCTCAAGGTATACTTTTACGTGCATATAGGTTAAAGCACAGACTTCCCAATTTTGGTAAGCCACCTGAAATAATATTCCCATGCCCAGAGAAAGAATTTAAACTTACTGGTGCACTAACAGTGTTAGAGAAAGGCAATGTAAGCACTTCCCAGGCTTTGCAGGAGCTCTCCTTGCTCACCTCAGAAATGAGAAGGAAATTACAACTCACCATATTAGTCTGTAATCTATGAGTATCTGAGCACTTCTGGTTCAGAACCACAGCAGCATTTAGGTTGAAAAAGACCTCCAAGATCATACAGTCCAACCTCTGATTGATCACCACGTTGTCAACTAAACCAGAGAACTAAGTGCCACATACAGTTGTTTCTTGAGCACCTCCAGGGATGGTGACTCCACCACCTCCCTGGGCAGTTTGTCCCAACGCTTAACAACCCCTTCTGTGAAAAAATTCTTTCTGATGTCCAACCTGAACCTCCCTTGGCACAGCTTGAAGCTGTGTCCTCTCATCCTGTCGCTTTTTGCCTAGGAAGTAGTGGCTGACTCCCACCTGGCTACAACCTCCTTTCAGGCAGCACAGTGATAAAATACTCCCTGAGCATCCTTTTCTCCAGGCTAAACAACCCCAGCTCCCTCAGCCACTCTTCACAGGAACTGAGCTCCAGACTCTTCACCAGCTTTGTTGCCCTTCTCTGGACACTCTCCAGCACCTCAATATTTTTCTTGTAGTGAGAGGCCAGAACTAGACACAGGACTCAAGGTGCAGCCTCACCTGTGCTGAGTACAGGGCGACAATCACTTCCCTGCTCCTGCAGGCCGCACTAATATGAAATGGATGCTGTAAGACCAATGCCCAGATTCAAGACACATGTAACCACAAGTGTATCATGCAGAAATCCAGCACAGCTCCTTGCCATTGCCACCAGTCACATAATAGCCTTCACTATTATGTCAACAGCATTCAAGCAAATTAAGCATGTAAATTCATAACAGAATCTACAGAAGAGCCCTAGACATTTAACCAAAACATTCAGACACAGCAAAACCTCCCTGATACAGCACCACTTGGAACAAAGCAATGATGAGAGAGGGGGAAAAGGCTGCTGAATAGACAAGCTCTCATGCAAACACACACACGAATAGCAAAGGGACATTTTAATTCCTGTTGGCAACCAATAAGCTTTCTGCTGACTAAGGGTCATGGCTACACAGCATTCTGCGTGCCTAAGTTAACTAACTTCATTAACATGGCCACGCTGTCTCTGGCACAAAAAGTTTCACTTGGACCTAAACTTCAGTATCAGTACTGCAGAATCTACATACTGCATCATTTCATACACTAATACTGTAAGATTACATTTAACGAACTCTCCTCTGGAACACACTGGTACTCCAGAAAGGGACACTCATCCCAAACATATTCTCTTTCTTTACACATAGAAAGATATACTCAGCTTATTAGCAACTTATGTTTAGGTTTTCACCCTACCTTGCTCTGAAAGTCAGAAGCACCAGTTGAGTTTTATTTCTCATTACACTAAAAATACCAAGTCATACCCTGGTAATCAATGTACTTGCATTTTTTAACTGCACTTGCCTTCATTATGTAGCTATTCCTGACAAATCTGATTTTTACCATAAGAATGAAATATGCGTACAATTGAACAAAAGCCAACAAAATCTTTCCTACTCAGACAACAGCAATACTTCCCCAGGACTGACAACTTGCCCGTGACAATGTAATTCCTAAAATGCACCACTGCCTTCAAAACAACAGCAAAAAAAGAAAAATAACATTCAAATCCCATGCAAGAATATGCCTGCAAAATCTGATAGTCCACTGAAGCCTACTCCTCTGTTCTGTTACTCGTTACCTCTCTCAGAATATTTAGCTGTATTTGAAAGACTTAATTGCAAACCCCAGCAAAGAATGACCGCCAATATTAATATCTCAATGAGCTCTTGTAATTATGATGTTGAGATGAAGGGTTTGAACATTCTGGGTTTGTGCTTTTGTGTTAGGTTTCCTGGTTAATATAACTGTTCAGAAAATATTCTGGTCTGATAAAAGCAGCAGCTAGGAGTTGAGTAGTATAAAGTACTTGTCTCCTATTATCAGAGATTCTTAGAGAATAATTTAGCCAAAACCCAAAAGGCTCCTGCAGTGTTTGAATAGCACTTTGCAACAGCATTCACAAACACATTCTTAGTGAATACATTTCGGCTTGGGTCAGAGCTCACCCTTAGCAACAGAAAACATCCTGGTTTGACCTCTCAAAATCAAAAGCAGTTATTTAAGGGAAATTACTCCAGAGAATTAGCTGTATATGAACAATGCATAAAACAAAAAGGGGAAGATAAATGCTATGTACTCAGTAGATAATACTCAACATTTTAGCTTCACAAGCAAAACTGAAATAGCTCAAGAAACTCCTGAGTGACCAAAAGCACTTCCTTTTAGAACAGCCCACAAATGTATCAAGTAGCTGAAAAACAATTTCAAAATGTTAATTCAGATAGATGTAGCAGAAGAGCTGGTTTTGCATCTGAACTTGAAACTAGGAAGGATTTAATCCATTCTTATTATCTTTTTATTGTTGACGGAGATGATTATCTTTGCATGTATCTCACACTTTGCTGAAGCTTGCTTAGTTCAGTGACATCAGAAAAACATAAAATAACAAAGGGTGAGGAGGAGAAATCAGTCTGAAGGATGAAAACATGCAATACCTCTAATCGCTGTATCCTTCCCTTGAAGAACATGAACAGAGAAGAATTTGGATAAGCAGATTCTTTTTTTGCAAGAATTTCTTTTGCCTCTTTCAATCCTGCCTTGTTATCGCTGCCGTCAAGGGCAAAAAAGGGGCGAACAACTGTGTGGTACCACAAGAGAGCCAATCTAAAAGAAATGTAAGAGTAAAAACGATTACAGCTTGTAAACAGAAATTTAAGGATTACGTTCTACACAGAGAAATTTTTAAATTATTCTGAAAGACAAAGATAGACATGAATCTTTTATTATGCAATCTGGCTTTAAAACAAACACAATGCTACTGTCATACATCAACATACTCCTAAACTGCACCTGAACATACAATTCAGTGCACGTCACCCAAAGGCAAGGTTAACAATCAAGCTCATTGCATCAAAGCAGTTGAGCCTTTAGAACTCCGTCAATTTTGAAAAAAGAAAAACTAACAGGAAAACTTTGAAAACTAATTGTTCATTAGAGAGGAAAAAAAACCCCTCCAAAAAAACCCCAAAACTAACAAAAAAAAAAATCAACAAAAAACCTAAACACACATCAGCAGACACACTTGAAATCAATGTCAAAAAGAAATACATCCTGCTTTCAGAAGGGCAGACATCTGCATGACCTACATCGCTCCTGGAAACAAGGGCAGAGCACAAGGATTTCCAAGACTATCTTAAGGAGGAAACATTCCCAAAAAATATAATTTTTCTTCCCCAGAAAGGAGAAAGAACGAATCAACAGGAACATTTAATCTTAACCTTTTTAAAACAAACAGAAATCCAATTCTCCTGCTTGTCAATGTTTCAAAAGTAACATCTTATAGTACCTGCAGTAGATCCAGTAATAAAAGGATTAATTTGTAGATAATGTAATAATAATTTATGAGGGTAGTTTAAATTACGCCTACCTCTTAAAAAGACCTGAATGCAGTATGAAGTCTTGGAAAAAGAATACACAAAAAATACTCCTTTAAAAATACTATAAGGAACATCTCATTTTACTGAGATTAAAAAATTGAAAAGATCTTGGGCTAATAGTAAAGAAAAATAGCTAAATGAGATCAATGACTCAGACAAAATAGTATACTCTCCATAGCAGAGAATGTAATTCAGGTAAATCTACACAGACTTCGGGGGAGCTTCTATTTACTCTGCTGGCATTTAAGTAACTAGACATGAGAACTGCAGGTACTGAAGAATACAGCAAAATATTGACACAAACCCCAAATATATGTAAATAATTAACAGCAGAGAGATCTCATACAATAGTAAGTGATGAATTTACTAAACCATGGCACATTAAACAACAAACTACAAGTTTATTTTACCTGCTGTTGTTTCCTTTAAAGCAACATGACCTTTTGGTTTTGACTTTTCTCCAGTTACTTACTTTTAGTACTAAGTTATCTACCAAAGCATTTCAATATAGCTACTCACGTAGCTAAAGGGGCCTTCATGTCCTTACTTTCACTTGCATACATCAGTGAGGAAAGCCCCTGTAGGCGGTCTCCAGGAAAACCCAGCAGGTTGATGATTTTGAGCAGGTTTGGGGGCACCATGGATATGCAAAGATGAAAAAGTCCATATCCAAAGCTAACAGCACCTTTCAGTCTGTTTAGCGAATCCTCCGTTACACCTTCTGCAGCAATATGATTATCATTTGCAGCATCAGAAGTCAAGGATTCCTGAGTTGTTTTCTTCTGATATATTTCCTGAAGTGTGTTAATGTCCGTATAGCACTTATTGTAAATTTTCCAGGCTTTTCGGAGTATCCACCCACCTTTTATGTAAGCTAAAAATCAAAGGAAAAAAACTACTTCAAGGACACATTTCAGAAGCCATTTTAAGTGGTAAATGCTATTTCACAAACTCTAGGATGCTCTCTCCATTTGCATTAACTTCTTGTATAAAGGATTTTGTAATAGCTACTGTTCTCTCAAAGAGGTCTTGCGTACTGGGCACTACAAACTTAAGTGTTCACAACCACAGACTTTACAACACGCAACACAAAGGCACTTCCAGTCAGCTACACAGCAATACAACTGTCAGAAAGAAAGAGAGAAATCAAAGAACTTCACACTGGATCTTGCTCCACTATACAGCACAGATGAAAGAGCTGCCTGGCAAACAGAGAAAAGCAAAACTCAAGAGAGACTACATCTCTTCCCTTAAGCCCAAATTCTGTTAAAAGACAGTCGATAGCAAAATACCAAGAAAAGCCTTTCCTTTGGGCTAGATAGTAAGATTTTCAACATCATCATTTCCCTGCCCCTCACATGAATATAATGCCTTTATGACTAAAAAAAAATGGAAAAAAAGTAAAGCATGCAGAAATTTTATGGTTTTAAATTATTTCTCAGTTGCCTAACTTCCTCAATTTCAAATGCAATATGAGTACTTGAATTTCCCTAAAAAATATGGCCTTGAGGATTCTCAGTTGAGAGTGACAGAATACTCGGTCTCACTATAATTTTTATAGGAGGGTAAAAAAAGGCCTGATATCTAAAATAAAGATTTGCCTATTTACACAGCAATCATCTTGTAAGCACATCCTTGGATAATGACAAGTGTTAAACAGGATACAAACAGAATATCCTTGTACACATTAATCATAAAAGCAGACACCAGCATTATGTCTGTGATAGAGTCCTAAGAGTTAGGAACTGCAATGACGAAGACAGTAACTAAAAATAAAATAAAATAAAAACATGATTATAGCAGCAGTCTTCTAAACAAATATAACCAAATTTGCAGAGATAAGTGTTATAACTAATGCCAGAATTAGATCATAACAGGTGGTGTGTGTCAAAGAAAAATGCTATTAATACCAAACAACTCCTTACAAGCCTTTGATGCCTTTGACAAAAATCCTTCCAATCACAAAAAAACCCAAAACATTTCTAGAGAAAGTAATATCACAGACTAGGCTACGTCTTTTTGGATTCTTGTTGTATGAGGAAGGGATAAGGCTAGTTTGATAGTCTTAAAAAACTGTACTGAGAAAGACTGCAACATTTGTATTCTCAGTAGTGACAGATGGGTTCTGTCAACATGAACTTGAGGTATTACAAGAAATTAATCCTCTATCTTGAGATCCATATTAAAGCATTATAATAAAAATGGAAACCCTTGCCTTGATTCAGATGCATTACAAGACTAACATTACTTCATTTTTAAGCAATTAGGTCATTTTTTGCCTGCACAGAGTACTTTAGAAGTTATGTGGTTCACCACAAGATGGATGCTCAGACAACTATGCACAGCAATGCAGCACACCAACAATAAGAACATCCCCACATTTTACTTATCCTACAGTAGTGTTTCTCCTAATAGCTAACCGCCGTGTTTCAATGCAAGGACGAAACAGAAAAGATGTGTTAGGTGGAAAAAAAGTATACTTTTAGGCTTTACTTCCATCAGCATGCTGTCATTAACCCTAAATAATTTACATACTACTGATATACCAATATGAAACAATCAAACAAATTATAACAATGAATTCCTAACTTTTTTAACATAAAAATGTATATTAAATTTTAACAAAAAAATTTCACGCTGATTTCCCAGCATGAAAGTAGTCAGACCCATGACAGTAGTGGAAAATATCAAGAAAAGGTAGTTCAATATTGCCATGGGAAGCCAATGTAAATTGCTGTGTTACCAACTTTATGATCAAACTATTTCTAATACATCCATGAGGGTGGAAAAGAAAATGTGTTAAGCATATGAGAAAGCAGATTGCACGTCATCATATGCTTCTTGTCAAACTGTTCCATGAAGACAAACAAGAAAATTTTCACCCATCCACCGATCACAAGTATTTGTCTGCCTTTTTTTTTTTTTAATTACAGTCATTTCAATAATCTGGTGGTTGTTTCTGTACAGAAATATGATAAAAACAGAAGATGTTTATACATAAACAGAAAGATAACGTACTTTAAAAACCAAAATAATGGACCCAACAGTTCAGCAATGGCAGTAAGTAGCATTTAGCTGCTTGGAATTTTAACTAAAGATTCCAGGTATATTTTTTTACTCAGTAGAGTTACCCAAATGTACTGCATGTTGTGCAGTGCTCTCTCTGCTACCCACTTCAGTTCTCTGAGCAGCAGACGAGAGAAAAGAACAGACACCACCCTCAATTACAGCATCCAACCAAATTATGCAGCTGCAGAATACATACTGAACCAAAGAAAAAAAGCTTCAAGAGGGAGGGAAAAAAAACAACCACCACAAACAAAAACCCAGAACTGTATCAAAAATAGCAAGGAAGTCTTTCTGCAGCACTAAACACACAGCAGACAGAAATATCCCCTGAATTTCTGCTAGCTACAGCCCAACACATTCCTGACGCCACGGTTTGGAAGAAAACAAGTTTGCACAGCACAGAAAGCATTACGTCCTTCTTTGAAAATCTTAGGTGTTATTTTAAAAAATGTGAATGTTATTTCCCTGATTCCTTTCAGCTGATCAGCAGGGTTTTCACCAACAATCTAGTCTGTTTACCATCTCTTGCTCTTCACTGATTTGGTGAGAACCTGAGAATGCGCTCACACTTTATGTACGGTCTTGACCACATTTTCTATGAACTCATGGATGTTTTAAGCATGTTTTAAGATTATGGAAGAGATGCAGGAATGCAAGAAAACATTAGAGATGGCTCTGCAGTCCAGAGAAGGAGTTTATATTCAACACGACAGGATTAACCTCTTTGGCATACAAGGACACACTCTGGTGGCCACAGAATAAGAACTGATTCAGCAGTTCCATCTTCAACACACTTCATTTAAAACTGCTTTCACTGGCAGTTTGTCAGCAGCCTGGACTTAATGGCCTCTTTTATCTTGCATCAAGCACACAGATGCTACCCATCTTTGCTACCCATCTTCACACCAACTCCTCCAACGCCTCTATGAGAACACGCAAAGGACTCCAACTTGCCTAAGGAAAATCAGTTGAATGCGACCATTGGTACGAAAAAAACAAAAAGCACGATCTGTAGCAACCCATCTCATCCTACACCATTACCTACACAAAGATAGAAGAATACTTCTGCAAGTGTACCCATCTTGGAATGTTTCAACTGGAACTGTGCTCCTTCTTAAAAACAATCATCCTTATTGCTACCCTTATACTGCGACTTTATGATCACGCTTTATTAAAAGGATATCATGCAAAAATATATCTAAACATGAAAGACACAGCACACCTGATAACTCTTGTTTTACAAATGAGAGCACAGCCAAGTAGACTTGACAGTCTGCTACAATTATTTGTCTTTGTAGACGATCTATCATGGATAGAGTGGATTTTCGTCCATCAACCTGTTTGGAATATACAAAGACAGAGCAGAGCAAAGTATTAACAAAGATAATAGACAATACTTCTCTAAATCTGAGAAATCAAAAAAGGTAAAATTAACTGCAAGTGGTAGTACTGCTACTAAACTAATTCAGCATTTTGAAGTGCAAAACTATGCTAAAATTCCTTTGACAGGTCATCATGCAAAATCCTACTTGATAGAGAAATTTTACACATATACTAGCAGTTATTTTTCCTAAGGTTCTACAAATATTCAGAACAGATTTAAATTTCATTTAATTACTACTAAATGCATCAGACATGGAATTAAAAAATGTTAGATAGGAAAAGCACAGAAAGAGGTATATGACAATTGGCAGGGAAAACATAGTGCCTCTTAGGAGTAGAGAGTGAAGTATGTCAGGTTCAATACTTTTTAGCAAGTGAACTAAATACTAAAGAGAAATGGCTTCTTTTTCTGCTATGTCACACTAGACAGGCCATTGACTACACATTTCTATACTATTACTTTTACTAGTCCTCAATCTTCATGCTTCATTCTTCCTTCATTATTTAGAATGAAAAATCTAAAAAAGGAAGGAAAATTCCCTAGGAATATTCCTGGCTCACAGCATTCTGCAGCCTCAACGTCATGACTTTTGAACATTACTAGAGCATGTACGAATTAAAATTAGTCTGAATTAGACAGGCTACAAGCTTCCTGACATAATTTAAGAGATCGCTAATTTGACATGTTAAAAAACAATTACTAACAAAACACAACCTGCTGCTTTAGAAGAGGAATCACCTGAGACTGCGTATTTTACAACAATTAGGAAATCCAAGCAAAATATTTCACTTCATTTCCAAGTTTATCATTAATCTCAACTGCTCTTCACATATCAAAAATAATTTATTCAAAATACAAGGAGGACAGAAAGGAAGTTTTCAGAAATATTTATCCAGTAGACAAATCCATATTTTAGAAATTATGTTCTTACATTCTTTTTAATTTTATTCTTGATTGTTTCTATAACTCCAGCTTCTTCGCTTTCACAAAGTTTCTCTGTAGCCTTTAAGTCATCACATGCCAGTTGCATCTTCTCTTCTTCAAATGTCATCATGGCATTCTACCAAAAACCAAACACATTTGAATGATAGAAAGCACAAATAGTTTTATTTCTACAGAAGTTATGGATAGTAAAAGTTTCCCTAAAAATTTGAGAATAAAACTTCTTTAAACAAAAGTAGTAAAACACACACATAAGTACAAATATTTTCAACACAGAAACACCAAACTAGAGAATTGAGTACTTTATCAACATTTCAAGACAAATCAACTCAGAACTCAGTAAGTCCTTGCCCCCATCTCAGAGCTTCATATGCAGTCAAATTGAACGCACTGTCATGATGAATTTATACAAATTCATTTTCAGTTATTGTTATGTAAGGCATGATTTGTATCTGTGCAGGTACTGCTTTTATGTAATAAATTCATATAAATAACAGGCCTCCAAAGTCAGTAACAAGAAACAGCTATTACATTTTTCAAAATAATAATCACAGTCCCTATATTGGTAGGAAGAAAAAGAAACCGCATCTGACTCCAACTACTGCTGAATTTCAGGACAAGTAAGTTCTTTTCTTGGAGTTTTATTAAACAAAAGCTCTGAATGACACAGACACACCAAGTGCTGGTGCTATATTTAGAACAGCAGCTAAGCAAGATACATTCAAGATCCTCTGATGCTGCACTCTGATGTTACACTGGTTCAGCACATCAATTCAGATAAGCAAGCCTGAGAGATTGTCCCTCTTTCCTTTCTCCCCTCTAGTGACTTAAAAGAAAGCATATGCCCCAGCAGATGTCCTAACCAGTGTATTTGTCCATATTGCATACTAGAAAGAATTCAAATTTATTTCATTTACAAATCATGTATTTCTGATACATTGTAATAAGTTCTGTCTTTAAAAAGAGTATTACCATGGATAATTTCTCATGAGACACAGGATTAAACAGTAAAGTCAGAATAAGGACAGTCTAAAAAATAAGATTTAAACATTTTCTAATACGCTTGCTCAGTTTTATATAAGGTATTATCATTTCTAATTTCTAAAAAGCATTTAACAGACTTATATTGCTCATTATGACTTTTTAGTCAATCAATATTCTCAGTTCTCATATATCCAGAAAGGAAGTAAAGTCAATGGATTGAATTAACAACTTTCATGTGGCAGCATGGATGGAGAAATCTTCAGTAGCAAATGTTATCAGAAAAACAGGCATTTGTGAGTTTTATTTCAATTAATTAATTAAATAACGTCACTGCTCACTTAAGAGAGTGTTTTATTATGCCTCTGTTAATGGAACACATAAATATTTCATACATTGAGAAGCTTAATCAGAGAACCTTTACTTTATATTTAAACCACACAAGTAAACAAGCTTTACATGATGTGATGCCTTGTTCTCTAGCTACATTTAATCTAAAAATTTGAAAAAAATTAGTTTCATAAAAATAACCAAATTTAGAGTATCCAGCATTCTGAACACACACATGCACATACAAACATGAACCAAAACAGATGTATACTCTGTGCTCTCATCTACTCACCAAAAAGCTGACAAAACTGGCTCCAAAACTCATTAATGGGCTATGGTTTCTGTAAAGAAAACAGAAAATAGTTAGTATATTTGTACATATTTCCTGTCATAAAGATCAATATTGCATTTCTTAGGTTTAACTTATATGTTTGTAAATAAATCTTGGTGGGGTTTTTTTGTATCAAAGAGATACGGAAAATTAAAAATCTGCCAGTTCTACTCTTCCCTTGTGATCTATCACTACAGCTTTGTCCTACCAGACAAACGTCAGCCAGTTGTATTAAGAGATTCCCATTTCCACCGCTTCTATGAATTTAAGCTAATCCACCCAGATCTAAAAAAACCGCATCTACCACATGACAAAGTTGTAGTAAATGCAAGGTTCTTATAAGGCTTATGGTTTTATATATATTCAACTTTAGAATATGTATCTTACTACACTGCGTAAAATAGTTTTAAGATGCTTCACCTATTCTCTTTGCAAGGCTACTCCCAAAGGGTGAAATCAACAGCTAGATCAAAAAAACATAGGCAACCAAAACCTTGGTAATATATATGGGACAGCTTTCAAGCTTCAGTACAACTGTAGTCACACAGACCATGAGAGTACAGTAATGTCACACAGAAGGCACTTGAAAAAATTAAAAATTAAAATGTCAGAATCTCAGTGGTACCATGGATCCACACCATTCAATGGTGAGCTGCCAGGTTATATGAAAACACAAACTTCCAGGATTTAAGAAGTATCATTTATGCTACATATATATATATATATATATATAGTTACAGTACAGCACTTAATTTTTTCCCAACTTTATTCTGCAACCATTAGATTAAAACAGAATTTTTAAAATACCACAGGCATTTGAAAAACAAAGAGAAAGAAGCATATTACTAAAACACAAATTTCCAGTAGTGAACCTGTATTATATAATACGAGAGTTTGGTTCGTTTTTTCTAAACAGAAGCAGCCAGCAATGTTTCACACACCCCCACCCCCCTTTTCTCACTTTGTGATTTAGCATAAATATTTAAAAGCAAGGACATGAACAAGAATAATACGAAAGAAAAACAGGGAAGATAAACAAAGCAGAAAAACCTTCCCTTTTGATGCACATTGCTCAATTCTGGATATAACCTGTCATATGTTTTCATTATTTTTCAAAAGAAAATAGGTTGGGTACTTCCCCCTTTGTTGGCACATCAACAAAGAACAGCCGCCAGTAAATGTCTCTGCTGTTCAGTACCTGGACTGTTCTCTACCAGCAGCTGTGTTTCACAGGGCAGTAGCAATCAGCTACACAAATTACACTCGCTGCAGCTGGCACTTCCAGCATGAACTCCTGCTGCAGAGGGCATGTGGCTCTCTCATAATCCCCTTCCCAACGCATGAGGCGTGTGGGACCCATTCGGCAGCCAGTCTTACCACCAGACTCAACACAACCTTCACCATACATTTCAAGGTCACACCTCCTGCATTATCAACACCCAACTGATCTAAAACTGCAAAACAGATCAGGACAAGAAATTTTTACATATATGTCCTTAAGTATGAAGTTGCATTTACATCATACTTTCAAGGAAGCTCAGAAATAACCCAAACGTTTCATTTTTGAGTTTCCTCAGATCAACATACACAGAGAGAAAGCAGTTCTGGGGAGTTAAAAAATGTTAAAGTAATGTTAAAAAATGAAGCAGCTAGTTACAGCTGAGAGCCAACTGGTCTTTACAGACTAGAAAATGTACTGAAGTCCTTACTTCAAGCACTAAAAATTTCCGAAGTATTTTAATGTATATTTGTCTGAGTACAACTGAGTTTTTTCCCCAAATACATATTTACCTTTTCAACTGATCTTTCAACACTGCTTCCACACTTGTATTCATGACACTCAGTTTGTTTCCAATTCCATCCCCCACAATCAAAGGCAAAACAGTGAAAAAATCAAGAGCCACATCGTTCTATTCTGAAATTATCAGTAGCTTTAATACAGGAGATAACTGTCGCAGATCAGTTCTTTTTAACTTTCAGTCACTCGATCTATAAAAAGCATTGCCATTACAGCACATATGGGCTGTAGCACAAAAGGACCCTGAAGCAAAAAAACATGAGGCATAATATTATACGATGTCTGGGAGATGCTTCTGTTGAGACCACGGGGTTTGGCAATCAAAACATGAAAACTTCACTGCAGGAGCTCCTCACACAGAGTTTGTGACATCACTAAACAAAATAAGAACACTTCTGCCATATTCCTAAGTAGTCACTGTAGTCACTATAACTGCAGCTTTATGGAAGATCATTTAGTAAGGTTAATTTCAGTGTTTAAAATCCATTTTAAACAACAACCATGTTCTGTGCTCAGTCTTTGTGACTATTACGTTGAATTATAAATTCTTCAACAGCTTAAGGCTATCTTTTCCTTGAGAGCTAGGAAAAAAGTTTGCAATGGCACAGTCCTGTCCCAGTAAAAACTAAGGTGTGACTAATGATGACAATAATTTTCTGAGAAAAATATAATTCCACAAAAATAACCCTTGGCTCAAGCTCCTTATAAGTGACCTTCAGCTTCAGACATGATTTTACATCTTTTTTGACAGATACCAAAAAGTTAAGATACAAAAAAATGACGCAGTACTTGGGAAAATACTAGCAGCAAACCAACGGCCATATCAACGTTGGCAGGAGTTATGGAACCGAATACAAATTAACACTGGGACACTGCACTACCCAAGTTGTCCTTATGGCTTTGAAAGCAATAGCCTCCATTAAGTAAAGAAAAATCTCAAGACTTTTAATTAGCTCAAAGAAAAAAAAGAACCAGTCTCCGGACATATTTTGTAAAACACCGTTTGCCCCTCAGCTAGGAAACTAGGACTCAAAGATATCTTTATTGTAAGAAATTGTGCTATTAACACCATTACTAAAAGAAACCATAGTAAAAGGTTCTACGTATCAATATGTACCAATACAGTTGGTACATGTAACTACACTTAAGTCAAAAACTTCAGAGCACTGAAGTAGAACTTTCTTTCGGGTGTATAAATCAGCGTTACATGAGACATTGCTTCTCCCAGTAAACCCTGACTAATTTGACTCATATCATGGCATATCTTTAAGACAGCAATTCAATTTCAGAAGAAAGGTGTTTGCCATGCCCCATTTTCACACATGATGATAACATTCAAGAGTTTTAAGCTTTGGCTTGATAATGCTGAGATAGTACAGCCCAATTTTACCATAAAAAATAAATCAGAACTGAAGTACATAAAAACAAACAAACAAACATACATCTCAGTTACTCCTCAGTATTTTCTTTTTTTTCTACAGCAATTTCCAAGACAGTATTCCCCTTCCAAATACATCAGCTTCTAAAGCTACTTTCTAAAGCTACTTGAGCCTAGCTCAAGTTTAAATTTAGAGTAATGTAATTAACCTGCCAACATTTCCTCTCTGCTTTTCTAGGCATTGCTACTTTAACCACAGTCCACTAAGAATTCCAATCATCATACCAATAGTGACACTCAAGTTGAAACAAATTATTTTCCTTCAAAGTCGGAGAGTAAAGCATAATGGCACGTAGGTTCTCAGATAAATACAGAAGCAGCAACTAAATATTTTAAAACAAGAAGAAATATGTGTAAATATAAAGGTAAGGAATTTACTGCAACAACACAGAAATCCTTTGGCCATTATTCCATCACAGATTATTCTAAAATTTGTTGTAAAAATTATTTGTGAGACTACAAACATGACAGATCTACATAAGTATACATCTCATCCAATACTGGTATATGAAATACTCAAGGTAATTTAAGTTCACAGAAGCATTACGGTATTAAGACACATTGAAAACTGAATATGTCAGATCTTGGTTTAGTTTACATTTCATCAGCAGCCCAAATTTGTTTTGTTAAATTAAACCCTACCATACACTTCTGTTTTGACTAGAAACACACAACCAAACAGAAATTCAGAAATATAGAAATAATTCTGTAGTCCTGTTCCATCTAGTTTTTACTGACTTGTTTTGTCCTTCTGCAAATTAAGAGGGGATTGCTTTGCTCTAACTTAATATTTTACTAGAAACAGTAGATCAAAAAATGAGTGAAAAGTCTTTACAGTATTTGTATCTTTCACAGAGTTAATTTCTTCAGTGTTAAAATAAGATCTGCTTACTATCACACCTCTTCTGCCATCTCCACCAAACCTGACTTCTGAGTAATAAACTCAAATTTTAGTTTAGCTTTCTTCCATCTTCCCTTGGACTACTACCTGCCAGATACTGCCCCATATGGGGCAACCTCCCTCTACTCTTTCCACCACTTCTTTCGGTGACATCACCTGTCTCTGTCATGAAGACCACAAAAGCATCACACTCAATGTGATTATCTCCATGCACCCAGGTCTTGGAAGATGTAAACTGCAGAACACTTAAAGTATTTTTAATCTATCCACATAACTGGAAGATTGGTGCTGGGTTTTGTGCATCGCTATTGTTATAACATACTCTGCCTAGCCTTGAGCAATGAAATCTTAACTTGCCGAGATACGCATTTATTACACATTTAGAATACCACTACTAAAGATCACTTCCCTTGTAAATAACTCTCCTTTCTATACATCCATCTAGCACCTACTCCTCTGCCTATAGCTGCAATAAACAAAAGCACACAGGGCTGCTACCAGGGCACTCATGATTTATTCTCACGCTGCCAATCCAGATGCTATCATCCTTCTCCCAACCAACTGACGTCAGTTCCCGCTCTGCTGTCCTTATCTTTAGAGAAGCTACTGAAGCATCTACTAAATCACTTAATTCTTGCACTTAAGGTTCCTTTGCTGAGCTACATAAGCAAGAATTTTAATAGTGATTAGACAGCCCATACATGGGCTATAATCTACCTACTGATCAATGCTGGCTTAATGTCACCTTGTCTCAACTCGTATTTGGGTCAAAAGTATTTTGAGCCAGAGTCAGCACTTTAAATTGGTAATGTGAGGTTCAAACAACTATCCACAAGGGAATTTCTGGTCCGTTGCTGAAGCTCGTATGCCTGT